TGAATTCTCAAGCCAAGCTTTCAAGGTTTGAAGTAGTGATATATATATATGGTCTCGTAGAAATTTTCACGTTGCAAGTGTCCATTAAAGCAAATATAGTCGTTCATGACTAGTTTTGATGGAAGAGCATGGATCAAAGGTCCAACCACTAGAGCTATGGCAAGGCGACTACTTGAAGATTTGACTGTTCCAGAGCTTAGTGGGCCCAATGGACTTAAGGGGCCTAGGGTTCTCTTCACTTGGGCTTTACATGATTGATCACCTTTATTGTATATTGAGTAGTGTAGGATTTCATTTTTTTTGGTCTTGTATTATGGACCTTAGTATAAGAATTTTTGGGCTTTAGGCTCATTAGGCCTAGTTTTGGGCTTTTGATACCCAATATTGGGCTCATTTTCATTCTTATAATTTTTCCTTTCCATTGTATTTGCTTGGCCATTGTATTTAGGCCATTAGAATAGGAATATTGGAGGATTACTTAAATAGGCTAATTAGGCTAAACTAGATTTAATTTGGAAGGCATTTAAGTTGCATTTGAGTCACATGATTGGCGCCACTTGTGGCTGAACATGTGCACCTTCAAATCAACCCTTAATGCTTCCTAAATTAAATTTAGATGCATTAAAGCACCTAGGTTCAGGGCCAAGCACATGGAGAGTGGTGATTTGAATTCAAATTTGAATTTGAATTCAAATCTAGGCGCCAAATGTGATGCTTGAACCTTGGCGCTACTTTGCTTTCAAACCGAGCCTATATAAGTTCAAATTCTTCATTCTTGTATTCACTTTGAACATATGAATGAGAATTCTGAAAATATTCAGCAAACTCTCTCCCTTCAAAGTCATTTGGCCGAGCAAGCTCTTAGCCTTGCTTCTAGGATCTATGTCAACTTGTGAGCAATCTTTTGCTCTTTTGGCATAGGTTCTTTCGGATCCCATTCCTTTTCATCTTTCTTCATTCAAATACTCTTCCATCTATGATTGGATCATCATTTGGATTGCCTCAAGGAAGTGATCAAGTTTGGCGGTTCAAGAGTCGAGAACTTTAATCTACTTCATTGGAATTACCATCAAGTTTGGTTCTCATTTAATGCTCAGGTTCTCGCATTAAATGTTGCTTCTCGTTCATGGAAATTGCATGTAATTTTCTTTATTTTTTAGCTATTGTGTCTGACCTTAGCTAAGACTTAGGAACCTTTTTGTCCTTTTTTGGTCTCGTAGCTGTAGAGTGTTGTCCTTATCTAAAAAAGTGATGTACTTTTTCTGACACATGCATGCTTTTTCTTTTGTGTGCTTTCCTTCTTCTTTTTTTTTACTCTTCATTTGATCACATGTTTTACGTTGAGAGCTTTTGTGTGGTCATAGACGATGCCTTGGTTTGTATCTTGAGACTTAATTCTTTAAGTGTTGGCATGGCAGTCTCCGTGTTCGTCTATTAATCTCATGTGTCTCACGTCTTGTTCTTCATCTGAGTTTTTGACTTGATGCTTTGACTCTTCTCTAGGTCTGGTCAACTTGTAGGTGGACAGATTTCGTTTCCTTCTGCAGTTCCTTTCAATCTACGTTGTCCTTCGTCTGACGCATAGTTGACTTCCTTCTGTTCTTTGACCAATGCTTCGTCTAATTTATTAGATTGCAATTGAGGTTGTCCTTGACACATCCTCGTCTGACATTTGGTTCATAGTTGTCTGGCGCACATGTCATACTTTATCTATTCATATGACTTGGTTTGTTTGATCCTCTTGGTGTGCCTTGCTTTGACCCATCTCCGTCTAATTGACCATTTGGCTTCATCTGATGCTCGTGCAGACTTCATGTATGCTTAGCCCATTTATGCCTTGTTCTAGATTTAACCTTGTTTCGGCCTTTTTCTTGATACTTTAATCTTCATCTTGTAGATGCCTTATTTTCGTATCTTCGACAGCTTGGATTAGACTTCATCCTTATACTTGCTTTGCTTATCTTGACTTCTATGATGTGTTTTCTCTTCACTCATATTCGACTGGTGCTTGAAGCTTTGCTTTGGCTTGACTCTTCTTCTGATTCTGGATTTATTATTTGATGATGCAAATGTCGTATTCCATCTATCATTTGTTTTAGTCTGATCTTTGTAACAATAGAAGATCTTTGATTTCGTATTGGAATGTTTCTTCTCATTGTTTGGTGCTTTGGTTGATCTTCTTCTATTTGTTCGAACTTTATCTGAACCACTTGCTTTATCCCTTGTGACATTTCCTGACTCATCCAATTTGCTTCAGTACATCCATTTCGTGCTAGTGATTGTTTTATTCTTTGGTATTGGAACAAATTCTTTTTGCATGGTTTGAGCTTCAATCGTTTGCTTAACCAGCTTTCGTCTTGGTGTGCTTGAAAGGTCTTCCTCTGTGATCTTTGTGGACTTCAGACGCTTTTCCATATTCTTCGTCTTGTCTTCATCCATTGTCTTTGGTCTTGTATATCGTCTGAGGCTTCATTGTTTTCCTTCTTGTGCTGGGCTTGGCTTCGCTTAATCTCTTCATCTGATGCCTTATAGTTCTTTACCCTTTGTCTTGGTTCTGGTGTGGGAAGTTGCACATGCTCTATTCTTCATTTTGCCTGTACTTTTATTTTTCTAAAACGCTAACACACTTGTTAGTAATAACAACATGTATTATATTTGTCTCACTCAAAACCTTACTGAGAATTGATTCGTCTGACTTAACAAAAGGGTTGTTGGTGAAGGCATAAAAATAAACGTTTATGGACAAGTTGACGAAAGTGGAGAAAAAAATCTTAGTTTGAATTTATGAGAAGATTTTATTAGAGTTTGTTGGGAGATTCTTTGTTCAAGTGAAAAAAACAGAATTACTGGAACCTTCATACCTGCATATGAGAGTGAATAATGAAAAATTTGTAAAATTAATTTTTACCTTAAAACTCAACTTAACCCTAAAATAATTAATTTAAATTAAAAAATTCATGTAAAACTAATGATTTGGATGCTAAGATGGCCTATTTTAACACTGAAATTTAACGGTGTAAAAAATGATTAAAAACAAGTATTATATAAATTTATAGGACTAAAATCAAGAATTTTTATTTTTGAAAGACTAAAAACATATTTGACCCAATATATTTTTAGTCTTTCTAAAATGAATAAATATTAATTTTAGTCCTTATATAAAGAACTATTTATTTTTTATCCTTTTATAATTTATAAACATTATTTTGGTCTTGTAGAATGAGCAAATTTTAGTTTTAGTACCATAAAATATTTTCTTTGATTTTCATCTCACTAAAATTTTAAGTTGTTATTTTTAGTCCATAATAATCATTTAAAGATATTATATATACATAACACTTATTTTAGCCATTATTACTTTTCAGTTGTTGAAATTTGGAATAGTCAAAATCAAATAAAATTTAGAAACCTTGTTTTTAAAGTTGATTGTTTGAAAAATAGGATTTTAGCCTTAGTTAATTCTTGTAGCTCTTTCACTTCTTTTTCTATGAAAAATAACATAAAGGAACTTAAACTTTTGAAAGCTTTTATAGTGCCTTGCAGGATAAGAAGAGTTGATATTATCACTAAAGTACGTTGGATCCCTCCTTCTTCTAGCTAGATCAAGTGCAATACTTATGGAGCTTTCTCTGCATACACCTCTACAGTTGCGTGTAGGATTATTTTCAAAGACAGCATGGCAAATTTGGTTGGTTGCTTAGCTGAGTCAATGGAGGTCAAATCAGCTTTTTAAGCAAAAGTCTTGGCCGTTATTCGTGCAATCCAGATTGTTCGCAATCATGGCTGAATGTCTGACACGGTACTAGTCATCATGGCTTTTTACAACCCTTCTTAGTTCCCTGACGACTATATGTTCAGTGGATGAACATGTTGGTTTTTGTTAGGAGTATGAGATTTCATTTCTCTCATGTTTATTGGGAGGGAAATGGTTGTGCTGATAGCTTAGTAGGGTTTAGTCTTAGATATCGTGGATCTTACTGGTGGACTTTTATTCCCTCTTGTATAGTGTGTTCTTACTCTAGTGATAGGAGTGGTCTTTTGTATAGTGTGTTCTTACTCTAGTGATAGGAGTGGTCTTTTGTATAGTGTGTTCTTACTCTAGTGATAGGAGTGGTCTTTTGTATAGTGTGTTCTTACTCTAGTGATAGGAGTGGTCTTTCTCACTACAGATTCTCATTGGATGAGATTTGACTAACATTTATACTTCTATTTCATATATTTTTTTATTTAGTTTCTTTTTGATATGCTACAGATGATTGGTGTGAATTGAGATGCTAACCAAGTTAAGATCTCTTCTACATTGTGATGTCTCAGCATATCTAATTTTTTTCAAAAGAAAAACATAACACTTATTTTAAAAATTTATAAAAGAATTTACAAGTATAATGCAAAACCTTGTAATAAATACATAAATAGTTAAAAAGAAGTCACATAATAATAGGATTAAAACAATAGTTTCAGGTGAAAAACAAAGAAATATTTTTACAAGAATCGAAACATGCTCATTTCCCAGGTAGAAACATATTTCTCATGAGCAGCACTTGCAACTTTGTATGCTTTTGGAAAAGGGATTAAAATGAAGCTATTGTTTTCGGTATGTGATTTGTTTCATTATGTCTAGCCCTACCAATAAGACTACCTATACAAGAATTTTATGTCTCCACAATTCATATTACGAGGTCAAGGGATGACAATGACATTGATGTAAATTTGAATCCAATTATCATATAGAAAAACCACTAACCGGAGTCGAGCACATATAACACTTCTAATCACATTGATTAAGTCCACTCAAAATCCCCATTACAGCTTCGATTATGAAGCAGCTTTGGTTCTCTAAAACTTTAAAGCAAAAAGGTGTTTGGGGGAAGGGGGAGGATTATGATCTCACATGCAACGAAAAAAAAAAAAAAAAAAAAAAAAAAAAAAAAAAAAAAAACTTCAAGATACCAGCACTCGCAATCTTTCTCTACATCAAAAGGAAAACCAGACAAATTGGGTAACAATCAACTAAAAAAAACTATATGCTAAAATAGAAATTGCTGAAGGAAGCTTTATTGTTTACTGAATTACAAAGTACTCAAACCTCCATTACCATATGAAGATAGAGACCGAATTCCACAACAGCCACCTTATACTTCTCATTTCATTTTAGAAAATTGAAAACCTTAAGGTATTACTTGCTGCAAACAAGTTGTACTCCTCAATGACAGTAGTCTCTTTTTTATTGCAACCATGATCATTGTCAACTTGATCTATTGAACTCTTTGCGTCAAAATCTCCAACATTGTCGCCATTTGAAGATGCAGTAGCCAATTTACGACAAGTTGAAAGGGCTACAGGGCCACCAAAATGAAACAGGGAAAAACCACTGTCTTGGAACTTGGCAGAATTATCATGTCCTACTTCCCCATTCATTGCTGCTTTTTGTGAATTAGCTCCAGTTAGAGAAACCTTTTCTACTGGAGATCCATTCAGACACTCTTGCGACATGGATGTTGGCTTAGACAATAAGGTCAGTTCCTCAGTATTTAAGCCTTTAGCTCTGGCAACTGGCTGATAAACTGGAACAGCAACAGGGTTATATAGGGGGGTTGGTTGCTGTAAGCCACCATACTGCAAGCAGAAGCGTGGATCCTCACTTAAGCCATATCCAAAAGGGCCAGGATATATATATTGGTTTGGATGTGGGAAGGGCATCAATCCATTTGTGGGAGCAGCTGGCCATGAAACTGGATTTTGATGGTAATAACCCATTGCTGAAGGAGACTGAAACACCGGAAATTGTATGTTTTGGTTTGGCGCTGGAGGAAGCATGCTTTGAGGTTGAGAACACAAAGTAATGGAGGAAAAACCATTATCAAAATTATGGGACATTTTCACCATGGGATTCCCCAACACATCACGTCCTGCTACATCCAAGGATGGACAAACTGGTGACCTTCTAGTTAAACCCTCAGCATTTGTATTATAGATTTTCTCCATCCCAGCATGAGAGCCAGACAAGTCATTGTCAATGCAGGTTGAACTATCTCTTACTTCAGATTGTTGGCTAGCATCTTCTGAATCCGATGTTGAGGATTCTGTATTTTCATGGTTTGAAGAGGATGTATTATTGTCACCCTCACTTAGGCATGATGAGCAGTTATCAGAACTAGAAGTGCTACCTTGATTGGGATCAGAAGAATTATTCAAGGCAGAGCCACCCGCCAGACACATTCCAGGTTCCTCAGATGCAATTTCTGTGGAGCTGCAAGATCCTCCCACTTCTGCATCAAGATCATTTTGTCGCCCTTCACCCATTCCTCTTCTCTTCAAATTACTATCCTCATCACAAATTTCACCTGAACCACCAACTTCATCAACAGATGATCTTACCGGATTGAACTGATATCCTTGACCTGTGGACCTCAATGTAACATCAGAGTCTGAATTACTACGAGCATACTTCTTGTGTGACTCTGCAGGCTCCCAAACTTTCCTTGATTGGGGTAAATCCCTACTGGAATAGTTCCCTGAGATGACTCTGCTTTTGGTTCTTCCATTACTCTCATGCATGAAGTCTACATGATTATACTTGCTCCCACGATAAAACTGCTTACAAGTGTCTACTGTGGATTCAGACTTACTAGCAGGTTTTGTCTCCCAACTAACTCTATTCACTCTATTGTTCGGGCTACAACTGCATGAATGGATATCATACCTGTCGTTCATCCAGCTGTTGGAACTATAAAACCTCTCACTACACTTCTGACCAGTATTACGACCATTGGATTTTGCAACATTTATTCTAGATTGCCTGTTCAGTCCATTGACTCCCCTGGAAGAAATCCCAAAATTGTCTTCATGGTGTATTGGCTCTGATCTTCCAAGCGTCGCACCATTTTCTGAAACAACTGCATTTTGGCGTCTGTCAGACCACTTTGTAGGAGCATCCAGTCGAAATTCTTTCCTAAATCTAAGTCTTTGACAATAAAACTTTGATTGCTCAACTGTAGAAGTACTATTTCTGTCTTGTGCATCTGCAATGTCTCCATCACAATAAGAGTGGTCTTCCGCATTTACACTGTCTCCCTCACAGTCATCATAAGAGAAGTCTTGTGCTCTCAAAGTAATACACTCCCTAGAAAAGTCTTCGTCTTGGATTTTAGGATAATCAACTTCTGTTACAATGACTGAATTCCTGCCTCTTGTTGAATCATCTTGCTCTACATCAGCATCTGGAGACAATTCTTCCTTTGAGACTTCAGGAGATCCAGGAACATCAATTGATTCAGAACACTTTGTTTCTGTATCTTTCTCCTTTCCTTTTAGCCTTTCCTTTCTCCGAAGTCTTTTCTCCCTTTCTTTTGTCCTTTTCCTCTCCTTCCGTTCTTCTTCTTCCCGTTTTTCCTTTTCTTCTTCTTCTAGAAGTTTCATCTATAAGAAAACATCATATGTTTAGGATTTTGGAAGAAAAATTTCAAAATAAAAATGATAGTTCTGTTTGTTCTTTTTATTCCAAAAAGCATGTTCCCAATAAAAGCATAATTAAGACCTGCTTTTCTAGTGTAATGATTTCTTTGCATGCTACATGAACTCGTTCTTCCAGCAGTTTCAGTGCAAGACAAACAAATATACTGTGCGCATTTTGGCGTGCTGTTCCTTCTCTGAAAGCCTTTTCAACCTGAAAATATAGGACATGGTTTAGCAGTTAAACACAAGACAGACAGATCCAGAGATGTACAACAACCAAGGCCACTGCAAATTGCAAAATAATCCAAACAGCCATAGAATATACTTGTTTCAGGTATACTACTAAATTCCAAGGATGTCAGAGAGTTTGAACCCAAGATCCCACAAATTACGATTAACCTTAGTACATACCCTTTCATTGTCATTAACCAATATAAACTTTATCTCAAATAAAATGGAAAATTCATTTTCTATATTTATCGTTGGGATATGACCAAATTATTTCCAAATGAAATTTATGCAGGTACTAAAGTTGTTTCACCTTCATCCCAATACAAATAAAATATTAATGATGGCAAATATTTTGCATTAGTGAAACAATACTAAATCAATGCACGTGTCTTCTCAACAGCAAAGCAAAATCAATAGACTAATCATATTACCCATTTCACAGTTCTCTACTTGTTTATGGAATCAGAAGAAAATCTCAGGAACATGAACTCAAGAAAAACTCATATTTTCCATCATTATATATGTTAATTAAACCAAAATGCCTGACCATAAAATAAAAAGGAAAAGAAACAGTGTGTAGAATGCAGTCAATTTTTCCACATCATGGAGGCAAAAAGATAAGAGTTTAATAGTAAATTAAATAAACCTAATACCATCCTAAAGTCAAAACTGATCATTATTAGCTTATAAATATAACATTTCATTCATTTATTATATTAATTTTCATTTCCCCCCTCAATGCACCATATTATCTGAAATATATGTGAAGAGATGCTATTAACCCTTTCTTCCAGCAGTTTCAGTGCAAGACAAACAAATAGCTGTGCACATTTGGTCCTTAAATATATGTGAAGACTGAAGACTACCCTATTATCCTTAAATAGTTATTGATGAAAAGATCTCAAAATTCAAAATACACTATAAAGATATCCCTGGAAGGAGAAATAAAGACAGACTATTAAGCAATAACAATAAAGCAAAGCATGCCTGTTCTTTAAATATAACAGTAGCAGCATCAAGAAGAAATTCTCGAGCAAGTTCGGGGCTCTTTGCATGCTTTTGAGGACGAGAGCATTCTCCATCAAGCTCATTTCCATCTTCGTCCATCAAATCATCATCCTAGAAACATATATTGCATAATTAACAAATGAGACTTAGACAAAATTCCTTATAAATGATTTTTAAATGAGTTTCCCTAGTGAAACTTTAATAACCTCTTCTTCTTCCGCCTCTTCAGCATGCTCAAAGAATCTTCTAATACTTTCCCCTTTTGTAATTGTAACATAACCATCCCCCACAATTAGCCTGCAATGCACACACCGTTGACCCTTTAATGCATGAGCTTTAACAGAAAGTTCAGTACAGCGTCCATCTAGCTTCCAAGCTCGGAGGGTGATGAAGCATGCAGTCAAACCACCAAGATCTAGGCCACTGACTTGTACACATCCATTCATTCCCACATTTTCAAATTCCAAAATGTCAGACTTTCCTTCTGTTGTCCCCACAGCCCATTCAAAGTGATGATACGATCCCACTGTATCTGCAAATGTCTGGCGCCAATCAGCTTGAATTGTGTCATCAGATACCTGACAAGAGCAAATGTATCGAGTTTAGTCCTCACAGGTAGCTTGAAAACAACCATTTTCATAAGAATGTTGGTATAAACTCTCATTGAAATCCCAATGATAATAGAATTCTTGGCATAGAAATATGGAAGCCACACCTCATACTGAAAGGCAGTATCAGCAACACAAAACCAGCTGGTGCAACGAGGTTCTCTACGCATGCGCTTCAGTTCTTTTAGTTCTTTGAATTCTCGAATTACGTTTCTTCTACAATCTCTACAAAATCTCTTGCTATCGAACCTGATAAATAGAGGGGTAACCTTTTAGTAAAATCTAAAACATAATTTTCTACACACACTAACAGAACCCTGAAGCATGGCATCGTATCTAGTTTCAAATGGGAAAAAATCAACTCATTCCAAAAGTTAAGTAGTGAACATTGTTAATGTGTATTTTAATTAGCATGAAAACGAAGTGTGGAAAAAGAATTTACGCAAGACTCAAAGGAATTCATTTCTCTAAACCTAATAGCATGAAGTCCCCCATGACAAGAGGAGGTGGCAAGTTCCCTAAGGAAGTAGAACAGAGCAGCAGTCAGACACAACATAGAAAATTTTAAATCAATGGCATGGAACACAAAACAAAACTTAATATCTATCCTTTAGCAGAAAAGCCATGCAACTGCAGAGAACATTGCCAGACATAAACACTAAATAAACAAGTACTAAGATATCAAAGGCAAATACTGCAGTAACTCAATAATAATATTTAATTTTTTAAAAATAAAGGCATTAATATTTCATCAACCAGTGTGCTTATTTTAAAATTGCATGCATGCAAAGTACAGAACATCAGAACCCTTATCCACAAGTATCTACCATAATCTATATCTACAAAACCATAATTCATTTTTTTTAATTGTTTATTTATCTCTTTTAACTCACATTCCATGTTTTAAATATCTAAATTACGCACTTTACAAATCTCCTTACAAAACAAGATCTGCTTACAAACGAGGGGCAGTGGACATCATAGGGTTAACTACACAATTACCTAAACACAAGATATACAAAACAATAATTGCCATGCAATTGGGTACAATCCTGAAGACATCTTCATCGATGAATTTATTTTCTGTTGTCGTGAAAAAAAAAAAAACCAAGAATATCATCATTTCTTATCTCGTTGCCCATGTCTACAGTCCACAAAGTTCCTGAATATTGAATTGTATTTTGTAAGAGATATAAAACAATTATTAGGCATGCACCGAACAGCTTCAGCAAATAGGATATTTGATGGTTGGATGTCAAAGAGTGGTTTAACAGGCAGAAAGGTCATGCAGGTTACGAGGAACAACAACAGAAAGGTATGAAAATAAACTGATTGATTGGTCATAAAAACTTTAATATTATGTTGAAAATTTAGATGGAGAAAATAAGAATTTGGAAAGAGCGAGAAAGATGGATGGGAAAAGAGAGACAATGCAAAAAGGCTGTAAGATGAGACTGAAGATCGCCACCAGAGGCCAAGCCTATAAGTCAATTTATATTAAATACTAGAGGAATATTTCGACCATATTTTGTCATTCAAGCTCCAATCAATTCTACAGAATCAATCCCATTTAATCCCCTTGATTTTAAGGTCATGGCTTCCGTGCTTAATTCACTAGAGTAGAGTTTACTTAATAGTTTTCTGTACTTGTAACTGTCTTGAACAAAGTCACGTTTCTTATCCAATTACTCATTTATACAGTCCAGAAAATCCCTACTATCCAATTGACCATACCTTCCATTAAGGAACAAATGAAGGCTTTCCTCTAAACAATCTAAATCATCCTGCTTTGCCAGGTCTTGATGTCAAACTCATAATTCTAGCCTGCACTATAACCATTTGGGGCAATGATTTCATTTTGCTATCATCTAAACTATCCTAAGCAAGATTCACAACAAAACCTTCAAAAGCAGACAGGCTCTGGCAAGGAATGAAATATTGATCCAACCACTGGCTGCCCCCTTGATTGGTGAGCTAGAGGACCAGATGAAAGCAGACAGAATATATGCATTATGAAGCAGAGAAGAACTGAAGACCTTGCATCACTGATCAACATATCAGAAGCAGCTCTGCTCATACAGTCTATCCTTGACAATATTCTAAGGACTCATCTTAAAACTTAAAAGGTCAACAAAACACAAAAATATGTTCCATTCATCTGCCTAATTATGTAACTGACACAAGGTTTTCCATTAATGTAGCACCATTTACTCTTCATTTACTGCATTTGATGTATGATGCTAATCCAATTTGAACTCCATGTCTAGGATAAAGTTCCACCATTCAACTTTTTAACCTCAAGCCAACAGATCATTGTTCTATAATCTGGCAGATAGCTAATCCATTGCATACCACTTGCAAAGGAATGATAAGAATATCAAACAGCAGAAAACTTTTTTTTTCTCTTTCTTCCCCAAATTTTCAGGAGAACAAAACGTTTGATCCTGGTGAAATGTCATATTCAGGATATTTTAAGCCCTTCTGATGCATGTCTCAGATTCTCATCCCATGTATATCCGTTTCAACTGTATAACTGCTTCTAGTACAAGAATTTATATTATTAATCCACTGATAACAAGCTATCACTTATCTGAGGAGTGTACAAATAGATAAGCACCTGTACATGAGTCTCTCAATAAAATCTTCTTCCTTCATCCTTAGAAGAGATTGCCTTGTCTCCTCTCCCAGTGCTGACCAAAAATCCACCAACGTATCACATGAAAGTCTGGCAGTGTGCAGGGCACATGTTTCCCTTGTCCCATGCCCTCTTCCATAAGTCACAATTCCTTGGCTTATCCAACCACGACCTCCCCCACCACAGGCATCAGGATAAAGCAGTTCTCTTTCCCGCTCCCTTGCACGTGCCCCATCAAATACCTGATATGAGGAAAAGTTAAGCTACCAAGACAAACAGGGGAAAGGACTGCACGAGAAGCCAATACAAATGAACCACACTTACAATTTGCAGTCCTTTCAGAGACTTTGAATACAAGTAGCAGTCCATAAGTGTCAGTGAACCCTCACGCGTTGTGGTCAAACCTCCCCATGGATGGACAGTTGGATCTTGAATTTCATCCTGGACTACATCACAAATAGTTGATCCACCATTATTTTGGTTTTTCAAACCTCCAGGTCTTCCGCAAGGAAAGTGAGGGCCCACTCCCTCTTGCTGCAAAGATTTCCCATACGTAACAATCTGCAAAAAGCCTTCGAGAAGTAACCCATTGCACCTGGAACAATACATATTTTTCCGTGCATGTTCAAAAAGGGTTTGCTTGTCTATCCTCAAGAGCTCCTGCCGAGCTTGTGTTGCAAGCTCACACCAAAACTACGTCACATGAAAGCAAGAAACACAATAAGAAACTCATTCATCTCGTCACAAATTGCAATTCTATCTCACAAAATAAATTAAAGAAAATAAAAACTGATATCATGCACAGTTCATCCTCAGGCAAAAATTCTTATTTTTTGGTAACTTAGACCTTACTTAGATAAACTTCACAGTAAGCAATTATAGAGTAATAAACTCAATTCATTTTACCTTCTTATTTTCTTTTCCTACAAGAGCTTATAGAAAAGTTTATCCAATCAGAAATATCAATTCAAATGGATGTTCATTCTTCTCCCCCCACTATTCCCACAATTTTGCCAGTTGCTTACACTCATTTATAACCAATGTCCTTACCTAAAAAAGCACCAGGAATCTGAACCTCGAGCAATGCAATGCTTGTTTAAAAAGTAACACATATCAGAATATTACTCAACTCAAAATATCATAGATTCGCATGTAACATCAGTTTCATTTTATATACCTCCACCAAGCACAGTAATGCGAATAAACAAGCAAACCGAATTTCCATTCGTCAAACACAAAAACCCGAATCAAAAAACAAACCAATTGCATCCAACAGTGATAACACACCCCAACCCCCAAAAAAAAAAAATCAATCACCGAATCGTTTCAACTGCGAGATCCAACACAAGGTCAAACAACTCATTATTAATTACCACACCACCGCAAGCCGCAACCAATACACAAACAGTGATCCAGCACCATCCGAATTAACAAACCGAACAAAAACCACGGAACCAATAAAAACAAAAACGAACACAAAATAATTATTAAAAAAAAAAAACAAACAAACAAAAAAAAGCAAAATCGGATCGAGTACCTTGTGGAGCTGATTGTAGCTAACATCGTCACGATTCTTCGACCAGAATCCATTACTACTGAATTGGTGATTCCCGTTCGGTAACGCAGGCATTTTTCCGGTTCGGACTCAGCGAGATTCATCCACCAACGAAGAACGCTCCCATTCCCTGAGGATCCAACCTGATTGGTCGAATTTTATTTTTATCCGAATCGAAATCCGAAGCGAGCAACGGATTAATAATTGGCGGATCGAGAGAAAGAGAATTGGGAGAGATTTAGAGAGAGAAAGAGAAGAGAGAGAGAGAGAGAGAGGGTTATGGTCGATGGCGATGGTGATGAGATTTGGTGTTATGTGAGACCTCGTGTTTGTGTCATGTGTATGTGTATATATATGTGTGCGCCTTTGTTATATATTTTGTACAGAGCGAGAGAACACACTTGGAGGAGGATGAGAAACGGTAATGGTTATGGTAATGAAAAATGAAACTGTTGTGGTAGCTATAGATCTTGCCTTCGCACTCCCACGTTAAAACTTAACCAACCCTCTTTTCTTTCTTCACTTTTCATCTCACATGCGTGTGATCATGGTTAGTAAATTATGTACGTTATTCATGTAAATGTAATGTAATTTTTTATTTTTTTATTTTTCTATTTATTCAAATTGGTTAACCCCATTTTTTTTTCCTTATGGAGTGAATATTTTGCATTTATAATAGGGTAATTAAAAACAATCGTTCTTATTCTTGTTGTGAACATTTTTTTCTTGAAATGGAGTGAATTAGGGTGTAAAAAATGATGATGAAGAAGAAAAAGGAGAGGGGATTGGTATTATTTACCTAAGGAGCATAAAATAAATGAGTGTTTGAGTGTTCAATGTACCGCATTAAATGAAAAGGAAAAGAAATTGGTTATGTGAATGTTTGGTTCCAATTATGTGAGGTGTTTAATCAAATAATTTGTTGTGGTTTTTTGTATTTGTAGTGAAATTGACCCGAAAATAGAAGGTTACACACGTCATATATGTCATTTCAAACATGCTATATGTGTATTTAACAGTTGTGACTTGTGAGTAGTAAATTTCACTAAAAACAAAAAGCTTAATTATGCATGCATTGTTATTGATCAAGATTAAGATTTTGTGCACCTTATTTATGTATAATTTTTTTCAGTTTAGCAGACATAAAAAACATGCCATTATCAATGTAAAAGATTTTACGTTATTTTATTAATAATCATTTTATGTGATTTTAAATTGATCATCATAAATATTAATAAATTTATTATACATAATAACTTATAATTAAATTTTTTTTATTCAAGGGAAAGCAATAACTTATAATTGGATGATAATGTAAAAATAAGGGGATATTTTTTTCTAACATTTTTGTATATGTATACATCATAGCACAAAACACTTAGGAAAGAATTTCAAAGTAAATTATGAACTCAAGAAATATCAACAAGTCCTATTATGCGGGAATCAAGGAAGGATCAAGCGTTTGAACCAGTCTAAATCATATTATAAAGTGGATCAATTCTATTTTTTTTTTAGAAAATTGAACTATATATGAATATAAAATGAATAATTGAATTCCACCAAACTAATCTAATTAAAAAAATCTCAATCCATTTTTTAAAAATTGGATCAATCTACTTAATAAAAAAATAATTCGATTAATTGAATAGTTAATTTTTATAAAATGGATTCTTTTTTTCAAAAATTGTATCGATGAACAACCTACAATTTAGAGGTCATTTAGTATGCTTATTTACCATCCTTGTGTTGGGCATGGATGTTATGTTCAATTAGTCAAATTACGTTGAGTTTATTTATTATATTTGGTGGAATTATTTAAGACGGTGCACAATCCCTTAAGTAATGAGTCTAAAAGGCACTAAAACTTTTTATGTTAAGTTAATTAGGTTATTCATCGAGATGATCCGCAATCCTTAAGTGTTGAGCCAAAAAGGTGTAAGTACTTCTTATATATGTAAAGTTGGCTTGTACAACACAAAACAAAATAAAAGACTAAATTAGGTAAATATTTATTTTTATGTGCAATCAAATTTATTATCAATATTATTAATCTCTATTCTTTCTCTTAATAAAGAGTATTATTCAAGACGAAAGTTATCGTTGATCACTTATATAGATAGTTTACAATGCATCATTCTTGATGATCATTGGATTAACTTAATCTTATGATACACTTTGAAGCACTGCATTATTATTATTTGTCTTTTCTCTTCGCCTCTTCCTCCCTCCTCGCCTCTCCCTCCCTTATGTCAAACTTATAATGAACATGTAGCTACTCAAGATCGAGTTCTAGTGAAACGACATGTAGTTAAGGTTCTCTCGACTTTCGAATTTATTGGTGGAGGTAGTTTGCAAAATGAGATCATTGTCTTTTAGCAAGTTGTTGAAATGGTGAATGTATAGTGTTCTTGGTTCAAGCATCACTATCGTAATAGATTTAGTGAAAGGTCGCGTTGAGCTTCTTTTGACATCGTTATTGTTAGCAATGGGGTAAAGAGAAAGAGCTCTACAAATCTGATGAAGGAGTTGTGACAAGCATCATCGACACGGGAGGGGTTGAAGTGAGTGAGGACTCTTCGACGGATTGGTGGATGGGTTCTATAGTGGTAAAGGGAGGATTTGTTTGAGAAGCTTCATCCTTAATAATAACAATTAGGATGACTACAGAGTAGAATAAATGTGGATTTCATTATCTCAATCCCCGTCCTTGTTCTCATACTTTATACACATCTTTGTCCTCACATCTGATGGGTATGAAATTTCTATTTCCATCTTTGTCCTCATCAAGTATCTCGCCTATAAATTAATTAAATGTTTGTAAAAAAACATGTAAAAAAAATTAACATAGAATAGCAATTACAAAATTACATTAATTAAGTTTCATTTGACATAAATTTAAAATAGAGTAAGAATTACATAAATGTCAAGTAATTTTTTTAAAAAAATAAATTAAGTTTCTAAAAATTTAAAATGGGTATAGGTACAAGGTAAGTAATTATATACTCATCATTGTCCTTGTACCTAATTTGATAAATAAAATATTACTGATATTCATACTTAATTAAATCAAGTATTCTTCGTCAAAGTCAAAATGAATTCTAATATTATCGATAGATACAAATTTACTTGTCATCCCTAACAACAATGAAAGGGCCTAAAGAATAAGGATGGTATTGTAATTACAAATTAATGGACCGATATCAAAAGCGAAAATAAATATGATGTGAAAGATACACCATAAGAATGTGAGAGTAAAATTAATTTGAATGTTAAAAATAAAAATTATACACTACATAATAGAATAGTGCACCTTAGCCCCTGCCATTATTCAATAGTAAAAATATACAAAATAATTTGATTGGTTATGCATATGTGAATGTGAATAATATATGCATGTGAATAATATATGCAGTTATTTTAAATAATAAAAAAACTCATTAGAGTGACCTAATGGTAGAAATTTAAGTAGTTTATATAAGGTTTTACGTTTATATCTCATTATTGTTATATATTAAAAAAAAAGTCATTAATTTTTTAAAAAATATCATATGTGTATTTAATCAATATATATTTTTATCTTTTACAGTCAACTACATATTTCTTTTTCTTCAATATGTACGATGTACTCGTTACTAAAATAAACACATTGTAAAAAGCGAGAGAGATCCTCTAAAATAGTTTTCAAATAGCAAATTTTTTTAGTCAATAATAGGAAAAACTTTGATTTGGTCCTCCAAAGTTATCTTATTGTTGCATTATCTTAAAAAAAAAAATGTCAATAAAATTATTATTTTTATTCTTTTTATTATCACTTCAGTTAAGTAAGATTTTGTTGTTAGTAGAAATTAAGAGCTACAAGAAAATAATTCTTTTCAAGATTGATGTGTTATCAAAATATTTAAAAGAAATAATAATTTTTTGTAAAAAAAATGAGAAATAAGAAATTTAATTTTTAGAAGATTTATTTGATGACTAGTTATTTTTTTTTTAGAAATTAATGAAATAATGCATATAACTTTTACGAAATTTAAATTAAAAAAATTTATGATTACATTCACATTCTCTTAACTAACGAAGCACATATTAATAATGTGTAGATTATATTCATAAAAAAAAAAAAAAAAACTCAATTAGATAATGTTACATGCCTTGATAATGTAATTTATACTTTTTTAAACATATAAATTTTAAATAGAGTTTAATTTTTATATATTATTAGTGTAAAAAATATAATTTATACTATTAAACAATATAGTAGGTATAATTTTTCGTGAAAATAGAATATGCATTCATAGTATGTCATTAAATCACAAACAATAGTGACAAATTAGTTGAATTTAATTACAAGTATTTTAAAATTTTTATTTTTATTTAATTAATAATGTAAAAACTTCTATCTCTGAAATATACATCATTAAACTCCAACATTTTATATAATTATTTTATAAAAGTCAACGTATAAATATGGTCTCCTAGGGAAAAAAAAATAGTTGGTGCATTTTTTATTTCCTTAAAAAATTAAAAAGTGGGTACATGAACATTTATGTAGAGATGTGGCATTCTCGGTGTACACGACTTTTATTGGATTTTAATTCTCAACAGGGCCCCATGAAATTTGCATCCTTACAATATAATTTCTTTTTTCTATTCCACCCTTTAATTTTTCAAATTAGTACTATCGTTTATATGGCTATTAATTTTTATTATTTTTTTTTTGGTATCGATATCTTAAAACTTATGATATGAGATAAGTAAAGTCTTGTAAAGTGTGATCAAATAAATACTAAATTTTAATAGTATATTTAAATGAAAATTTTAAATAGAGTAATTCATCTGTTTAAAGAATTTTAAATTTTTTAAGGTAAAATATTTTATTTGGGTAAAAAAGTTATAAAAAATTTAAAATTTAAGTATTTCTAAAATTTATTGAAATAATATAATTTAAAATTCTTCTAGAAAAGTAAGAATTTAAAATTTTTCATATTTTTTTCTTATTTCACTTATATATTTTATCTTATCTTTTATTTTTTCATGTTTTTAATTATTGAATATTTAAAAATATTTTTAAAATCATTAAATATTATCTAAAATTAATTTTTAAAATTATTAATATTTAAAAATTAGTTAATATTTATTTTTATAAAATTTAATTTAAAAATCTTAACATATAAATATA